GTCGGGGGGTGGGCAGCGGGGGTGTGAGGTGGGGGGGGGGGGGGGGGGGGGGGGGGCAATCTGACCCTGAATATGGGGGTAACATAGGAAGGTAAGCTTAGCCTTTAAGCCGGGGTCTCAAAGTACCGGCCTGCGAACCGGTACCATGTGGCCCGCAGTCAGCTGAGAAGTCAGGCACACAGTCACTTACTGCTTACCTGACTTGGGGTGCAGCTCTCAGTTGCAGACCGCACAGCTGCTCCTGGCGGTGTCAGCGCACAGTGTGTGCTCTGACAGTCTTCATTGAACGCCGGCCCGAATGGATGGATTAGTGAGGTTTTCCATTACTAACCAACCACTGGATCACCAGGGAATGTGCCCCCTCCCTGCAAAAAATGTAAGCAGGTGACGGGACCCTTTCTTTTATTTTAAGCTGCGAGTGTGTATTAGTGTATGTGTATTTCTGTGTATGCATATTTATGTGTGAATCTGTTGGTCCACTATGATTAAAAACAAAAACCACACGCATATACTGACACTGCACACATATACACATACTGATATGACACACACACACACACAGAGAAACATTAACACACATACCGACATCACTCACAGAAATCCTGACACACATACGCAAACTCACAAAAAAATATACTGACACTGCATACGAATAGACCATCACAAGCACATACACTTGACATAAACGCACGCAGACATTAACATTGCTACCATAGTTACATTATGTTTGAAGTATGAAACTTTATTAAATTTGGCAAGCGGCTCGCATGGGAGAAGATAATTTGTCCAGTGGCCCCCAAGTGAATTGAATTTGAGACCCCTGCTTTAAGGTAAACCCTGTAGTAGCAATTAAAATTGCATGTGCAGTAGAAATTCGTTATAGTTGCCTTTTACTGTTCTTGTGAATGGGGAATATTACAACCACACTTTTTTTTTTTTTTTTTACAAGAATCCCCCCCCCATCCCATCCCTTTGCATACATACCCCTCTGTGTCCACAGCAGCCACCTGTGGTGTATACATCCTTCAACACTCCTCCAGTACTGGCAATGCCTGTGCAATAACTTCCATAGGCCTGAACAGAGCCATACTTCTAGATTCTCAGCTATAGGAGCATGGCTCCCTTTATTATTATTATTCAGGATTTATATAGCGCCAACAGTTTGCGCAGCGCTTTACAATATAAGAAAGACCTTACACTACAATTCAAGACAAGATGGTAAGGGGGGCTCTGCCCTTGAGAGCTTACAATCTAAGATGTCTATGGGGAGTTACTGCTCAGGCATGGCCAGCACTAAATGAGCTTTCTTTACAGAGAATGTAAATACCACGAGAGGTTGTCCGCTGTCATGGAGGGGTAAATGTGTGGGGGGCTGGGTTTTTTTGTACAAAAAGTGCAGTTGTACTTTAACGCTTAGGGGGGAATTTATCAAAACTTGAGCAGACAAAAAATGGAGCAGCAGTGCATGGCAACCAGCTTCTCTTCAGTTTGTTTAGTTATAATTTCAAAATTAAATAGAGACACTGATTGGCTGCTGTGCACAGCTGCTCCAGTTTTTGTCTGCTCCAGTTTTGATTACTTCCCCTCTAAAAGGTGCCCATACACTTTCGACCATCGCAAGACTTTTGTCTTGCGATGGTCGTAAGCTTATTAAAAGCTTGTACGATCTGCCCACCTTGGACAGGCAGATCGTACTTGAGATCATCGAAAGCCCGCCCTGCTGAGGGGCGGGCTTCCGATGACCGCAATGCAGAACGGGCAGTTCCGCAGCTGTCGAACGAGCAGGCTAGAAACCCGCCGACAATCGTACGATTCTCCGCGGGTTTTCGAGCATGCTGGTTCAACAAAAGACGTGCGATCGTACAGTAAAAACGGTCGCACGTCTTCGTTCACACTGCTCGATTCTCGTACGATCGCGGGATTTCGCCCGCTTCTCGTACGAGAATCGAGTAGTGTATGGGCACCTTTAGTGTCTTGGGTGTATACATGTAATGAATTGTGGGAATTCATATGTCCATAATCGCTGCATAGATTTATTTAATGTAGAAAACAAGTTGGTCTGTGCTCTATTTATTTTGCAATTTTATTTATTTAGTTCATATTTTTTTTGGGGGGGGGGGGCTGAAAATGTTATTAGAAAGCACTACCATAAGTTAGGCCTGATTATAGTCATGACTCCTGACAATTAAGTAGAACAAACTGAAAGGGGGCAAATACATTTTCACAACAATGTACGTGTCCTATCTATAGAGAGTGGGAAAGTGTCTTGCTTTAATAGGACAAAAAACTCTGACAACAGATCCAGGAGATGGCTTCTGGAAAAACATACATTTTATAGAGTTGGTACGGGAGTAGTTCCAAATCATCTCCTACAAAACAAACATTACTTCAGCTAGTAGCCTCAAGACATGGCAGAGTGCAGTATAATGCACACAAAAGACATCAGTCATAAGACTGCAGACTATATAAATGCCTCTATTTTATGATGGGAGACTACAAAATGTACTGTTCCCACAAACAAGAAGGTATGAATAAAAAAGGCAAAATACAAATTCTCACCCAACTATTGCTGGAGAGACTGTGGGCACATGGGTAACCTGAATCGTACCCTGTGGTCCTGTAAGAACTTGAGTAGTTTCTGGAGGAAACTACTCAACCATACATTTGAATGGTTAGTTCTCTATGACTAAACCCAAAGGGTGAGAGACTGTGGATCAACCTGGGGAAACTGTCAGTGTTTTTCTGTACTGTTGGATCCATCAAGTCTTTACAATGGTAGAATTCTCGTGGAGCGCAGCTTTTTGTAGAACTTTCAACACAAATGGCAGCACGTTTGGTAGCCTGCACCTGAGATACAGCCATACTGCAGTCTGTGTGTGGGATGTGAGCGGTGTTTGTTCATTTTGGATTACATATCTTTTGTATGGTTGAGTAGTTTCGTATTGTCACTTTCTAAAGATGATTGTTCTGGCTCAATCATCTTTTTTGACGTGACAAACCTAATAATATACTGTACCTATGTTCTATTACAATTCCTGTACTAAGATTTACTAGTAACCTATTCTTTCTACCTCTCCCCCAACTTTACTGTTTTTGTACTGCCTTTTCTTTTGCTAATCATCTATATGATAAGCTTATTTTGTCCATTTCTTTATGCAAACTATAGAAAATATTTTGAATCACCACGGAAATCAAGATTCTACAACCCTAATATTCAAGTAGAAACAACAAACAATTCTTAATGGAGCTTTTAAGGTGTGTTCTTTAGAATGTAGAGGGACATAACCAGACCTATACTAACACATAAATTACATGTATAATTTATTGAAAAAACAACCACTTATAAAAGTACATACAAGATCTATACATAAAACAAATAATCACTCATGTTAAAAACATATCAAATAGCAGCTCCCTTAATGATATTACAT